ACACACACACACAGGCTTTCTCATCCATAAAACCCGAGTATTAAAAATGATCACAGCTTTGATTTTCCTTTAGCCAAGATTTAGTCATGTGAACAAACTTTTTTTTATTTCAGGTATAGCTTTTGCATGTGGGGGCAACAAGTTCCATAATGTTGTGCTTTTATATGAGAAAGAGGTCTGACCAAACGAGGTTCTTCATGGGGGAGTTATGCAGTTCTGTTCTAAAGATCCTCTGGTGACTCTGCAACTGTTTTGCTTCTGTATAAATGAGCTCAATGGATGAGGAACTAACTTTCTGATACACTTAAGAATTATTTTAAGAAAACATAAGTTAGAAAAGCTTTCAAAACTCATTAAGTTATGTTTTTCCAGGATTAGCCAGTGATGTGATCTTATTAGTTTTCTGTCCAGTACTTTAATTGTTTGGTTATTCAATGAGACCAGTGGCTTAATAGCCGTTGTAGTAGCCTGAGCTCATAAAGTCATACAATATGGTACGGTATAAAGTTTATTCATTTTAGAAAACAAAACAAAACAATTCCATAAACTTTAATAAATACAAGAGATTTAAAATGAAAGGCAGCAGAAAGAAGAAACAATCTTATTATATCTGCCCCTTTTTTTCAAACAATTATTTCAATCATAATAATCTTCAAGTAACAGAACAAAATGAATAACTCTATCTAATTTTTCTAATTCTAATACAAAACACACACTAAGCTACTTCATATATACTTTTTTAACAATTCAGTTTTGATCTTTTTCTTAAATGTGCACATTGACTTGGCATTTTTCACATCACTCTCTAGACCATTCCACAATCCAACTCCTTGGATTGAGGTAGACCTTCCCTTCAGACTAGTTCTGAATTTTGGTTTGACAAATATCTCTATCCCCTTAAGATTGTAACAACTTTGTCTTTTAACAACATTTCTTTGGATATTTAATGGTAATGTGTTATTTTGAGCCCTATACATAACTGATAAAATACTGTAATCTACTAAATCATGGAACTTCAATAACTTAAGTTGATAAAATAATGTTCTTGATGGGTGACAGTAATGCTTTCTGGTGATAATTCTTACAGCTCTTTTCTGTAAAATAAAAATAGGCTTTGTAAATGTTTTACACGCTTTCCCCCAAACATCAATGCAATAGATTAAATGTGGAACAATGATTGTGTTATACAACATGTACAGAGCTTTATCATTTAATAATTCCCTGACTTTGTATAGTACTGCAATAGATTTAGATATTTTTGTTCTTACAGAATTTATGTGATTTTTCCATGTTAGCTGTTCATCAATGATTACACCCAAAAATTTCATCTCATTAACTCTACAAATCTCAACACCCTCAATTTTAAATGGATCATCAACAGTTCTCTTTTTGTTACTAAATATCATGTATTTAGTTTTATCTAAATTTAATGATAATTTATTAAGTTTAAACCAAGTTTGTATTTTATCAAATTCTGTCTTCATCAATTCCAACATCCGTTTTACATCTTTACCCAAACAGAAAAATGTGGTGTCATCTGCAAAAAGGACACATTTGAGGAGTCCTGATACATTCACTAAGTCATTCACATATAAAATAAATAACTTTGGTCCAAGTACAGAGCCTTGAGGAACTCCACAAGTGATATTGCACAGGTCAGATCTTACACCATTTATTTGTACAAACTGTTTCCTATCTTTTAAATAGCTAGATACCCAGTGTAATGCTGGTCCTCTTATACCATATTTATTTAATTTTTCAAGGAGAATAGTGTGATCAATAGTATTGAATACTTTTTTTAAATCAACAAAAATACTAACACAATACTGTTTTTGATCGACAGCAGTAGTTATTTGTTCTATTAATTCCATGAGAGCCATTGATGTAGAGTTTTTTGCTCTAAACCCATACTGACTGCTACTTAGAATGTTTTGTTTAGTAATAAATTTATCTAATCTGGTCACAAACAGTTTTTCTAGAATTTTTGAGAAGTCATACAATATGAGATATGAAAGAATATCATGGCATGCATATACTGAAGAGCAGCCTGTACAGGAATGTAAGACCTTATTAATTTGAAACAGTTAAGGTTTCTTGGTATTTTTTTTTGGAACTGTTGTTTATATGATTCTCAAATTTTAGATGTGGATCTAAAAACAGCCCAAGATATTTGAATTTGGTTACATTTATAATCATTTTATCCTGTGAATGAATTTGCAAATTTTGTTGTACATGTTGGCAATATGTACAACCAACTTACCATGTTGGCAAATTTTTTTTTTGTCCATTTTCTGTTCTGGTCCCCTCTTTCTGCTCCAAATGGATTTAAACAGAATATCTCCAATGGTGGACACACCAGTAAGACTCTTGGTTCTGTCTGTTAAGATCACTGCTGATGTTCTGATCCACTTGATAACTAGCACTGGTAAGTGTACTGTCCCTGGACTCTTAATAACTCTTAATAAATACAAAAATATATAGATAAATAAAATCTCAAAAAATTGAACTCCATTTAAATTAGTCAAAATAATGTATATATATATATATATATATATATATATATATATATATACAACAAGCTCAGTAAATAAGTAATTTTATGAGGAAATAATTTGTGGGGCAAAATCATTTTTTGGATGGGGCTATGCCCCACCAGCCTCTATGGACCAACCACCACTTTAGAGCAATGGTTTATTGACAGAACTGCGCTAACGGCTAACCTAGCAGTGCCATTTATTTTGTTTTTTCTAAGAACCAGCTTATTTGATTCAGCTCACCAAATGGCGGGGCACAATGGGCCATCACTCAGAGAATTACACATTCAGATCTTGGACAAGTTTGTAAATCTTTTTGAGACTGATTTAGGTCCATAGCATTCAGCCTTGTGACTTTTATGAAAAGTTTGGATGTGCTCTCTTGCAGCATGGTGGGGCAGAAGGGAGAGATATCAAATCTGGCCTGGGACCCTTCTGGGTGGAGTTTGCATGTTTTCTCCGTGCATGTGCAGATTTTCTCTGGGTATTCGTTTCCTCCCACATCACAACAACGTCCTGCTGGGTTGACTGGTAACTCTTGTCTGTAGGTGTGAGTGAAAGTGTGAATGGTTGTTTGCCTCGTTTGTGTTCATGTGGTCTACATGTGATGTACTTGTCACCTGTCCAGAGTGCACACTGACTTTTGCACAGTGACTGTTTACAAGGGCACCAGCTATCCACCACCTAGAACAGAGAAGTGGTAAAAAAATAATTAAAAATGGAATTGTCTGCGATGAACAGCTCTTTGTGAACTGACTCAGGACCCTCGGTCCTGTTTCTAGTCAAAAAAATATTTCAAGAGTCTAAGCTTATATTTATCATTTGTAAACAAGCTTAAATTAACAAAATCAGAAGTATATGGATATTAAAGGAAATGTCTAATTGAGGTCATGCTAAATCCACAATTTTGAGTCTTGCTACCTGCCCCAGCAGCCCCAGGTGCTTTTCAACCAGCCCAGTGTTCCTGGTTAGTCACACCATCAACCCCAGCATCTTGAGCACCTCAAGATTTCTGGCCATTTGCTCCAACACTCCCAGATTTCCAAGGACCCTAATTATCCACCACAACAACATCAGCATCCCCAGGACCCAGATGTACCGAACTACTCACAACATCAGCAGCACCCAATGGGACTGAAAAACTCACCGCAGCACCCTTAGGATTACAAGGGTCCCAAGCTCTTGGTCCAAAACCCCCAGCAATCAAACCACCTGACTATCTTCCCCAAGATCATCAGTACCCCTGGGACCAGAGTACACCTAACTATTCACATCACCATTAGCCCTGCCCACACCCCGAAGAGCCTTCCTTCATGCCCCAACAGTCACAGCAGCCCCAGCACCCCAGTGTGTTTGGTCCTCAACAACCTCAGCCCCCTAAGGAGCCTGATTACCTACCCCTGCAACCTGAACCACTCCCGCAGCACCTCATATTGTCTGGTGTCACACAACAACAGCCCCAGCATGGGCCAAGCAACCTGCAACAAGACAACGCCAATCCACAAACCTCTCTGCTCTGCTCAGAGATCCCAGCGATGCCTGCGTCCTCCAATGCTAAGCTACCTTGAAACCAAGCACAAGGGGGTCCAGAGACCCCCAGTACTTGCATAATTTCTGTAGCTCAACCATCAACTTCAGCTGTTTCAGTTTCTTCTGTGGGTGCTATCAACCAAACAAGTGCATTGAACTTTCAAAATAAACTTTCCAAAATGATCATTGACAAGTTTGCATGTTTTTAGAAACCATGTTACACTGGCTATAACATCATTCGTGTAACCTTTATTTATACAGGTTAGCCTCACTGAGTCACAAGGACTCATTGACAAGAGAGACCTGTACATTAAAATGTACCTGCAGACAAAACTTTAAAGTGTAGAGGTTTATTTTTTCTTTTTATGGAAATAAAACACATTTATTTTCTAAAGGACAACTCTTGAAAAGTTCATTTTCTTGTTATCTTGAATATGTACTTTGATGTGAAAGAACCCCAGACGGGGATGCTGCCAACATATTTTTCTGCATTTTCTGTTTTAAAATTATTATTGTTGTTGTGTAAAACACAAAGTGCTCACAACAGTCCACAGTTATTTGGTACAACTAGTGCTATTTGGAGATGTTTAATAGTTGTTTGAAAATGAAGCAGAATTTTTTTATTATTATTACAGTAAATGGATTATTTTTCTGTATACAATAAAAAACTTATTTTATAAAACGTAAATTTATGGTTGAATTTTTATTTGTTTATTTATTTTTAAAGTAAGGATTGTTTTTCTTTTACAAATCAAAAAAAAAAAATGCAAACCTTTCTCTCTGGACCATCGAACTCCTCTCCTGTAGGGGGCGCACGAGTATAATGAGTGAAAACGCCTCAAAAGCAGAAAAATGATTGACATTTTTCTCCGCTAATCAGATTGCAAACATAACATCTGAGCCAATCAGAACCTCGAACGTCACTTAAGTGGGCGGGGCCAGTAAACAGGAAGTACATGACGTTTTATCATTTAAGCCGCTGTACATGTACAAAGACCTCGTACATCGTCTTTCTACACCACCTAAGAACATCCTTGAAGTAATATTTACTCCTTGAAGCTTTGTCTTAAGGTATTTATCTACAGGTAGGACTCGTTATTGCTTTAGTTTAGCTTTGCTCGTGCGCTAACCGCTACATCAGCACCAGCTGTGAAGCTTGTGGAACGTTTTTAGTCTTAGTTTATGGCGAACATCGTGAAGCCCGTCTTGTGTAGTGAAAGCTCTTGTTCACTGTCTGCAGCGGTCAGTATGGGTGAGGTGGAGCTCTCCTGCCGGGCTTATGTGAAGATGTACCTGCACGCCTGTCAGTTTCCGCGCTGCGGCGTCAACGGGCTGCTGCTGTCCCGCTGCAGCCCGGCAGGGGGCGCTGTGTGCGTGACGGACTGCGTGCCGCTGCTGCACTCTCACCTGCCGCTGGCCCCCATCACACAGCTGGCCCTCACACAGGTGCAGTGCTCACTCTGCTCTCACCTGAACGTTCGTGAAAATGCACGTGATTCTGACCATAAAAAAAAGTTACACCATAAAACCAACATTTAAACTTTTGTTGGACCTGATTACTGTGACTGACAGGAACTATCCTTTACAGCACAAACTAAAATGAACGCATATGTTTGAACTCTTTTGGACCTGTAAGCTCATTAATAATGTTCTGGTGCTGCTCAATCATCCAGGAAGAAAAACGTAACGAGGTTAAATCGATCCGTCCAGAGGACCTGATTTAACCTCGTTACACGTATTAATAAAGACGCCGCACAATTAAATCTTAACACGAGATGTTTAGGGCAAAATGGGTTTGTGTCGCATTATTCTATTTTAATATTTTGAGGCGAACTTGTTTTATGTTTAAATAATTTTCCAGAACAGTTCTGCATATTTCTTGAGGAACGTTGCAAAGATCTTTTTATATTTTTGTCTCCTTTTTGTTCTGTTGACAGTTCTGAGCGTTGGAGAGGCCAGTCCACTTCTAATGCTGCTTCCCTTTACTTTTTATTTTTATCCAGATTAGCTTTCAGTGTGCGTTTAAGATCAGAGTTCTGACAAACAAATGCATCTTTTAACACCCTGTTCTCTGGACAGTTTAACATGATGGATCAACATCTGGACATTTATCATTTAAAACATTTTAAGCTCCCAAACCATGGCAGCACTTTCCCCGTGCTCCACAGAGGGATGCTGTACTTTTTACTGTTGATGACGAGAGAAAGCAAAATGTCAAATTTAGATTTTTCACACTAGAATGTGCTACCATACATTCGGGTCGTGGGGGTAGCAGCCTGGGGAGGTCCAGACTTCCCTCTCCCCAGCCACTTGGGCCAGCTCCTCCAGGGGAATCCCGAGGTGTTCCCAGGCCAGCCGAGTCCCTCCAGTGTGTCCTGGGTCTTCCTCTGGGTCTCCTCCTGGTGGGACGTGTCCAGGAGGCATTCTAACCAGATGCCCGAGCCACCTCAGCTGGCTCTACTCCGAGTCCCTCCCTCCCTAAGATACATTAGTGCCTGAAAAATCAGGGCTTTATTTCTTTCAATTTATTATTAAATCGTTGTTCCCTCTTTTTAAACAGATTGTGATCAAATAAATTATTGTAATAATGAATTTTGGGTTCAATTCTGCTTTGAGGTCCCTCTTTTGTATCTAAAATTTTTGAAAAAAGGCAGAAATGCATATATATATATATAATTTTTATATATATATTTTTATATATATATATATTTTTTTTAAATACTCTTGTATTTTATAAATTAGTTATTGGTTTAATTGCTCATACAATCAATATTGGCATTTATCTTTGGGGGTTAAAAACATGAAAAATCATGTCTTTTTAAGGTTCAAATTTTTTTATTGTCATTCATCACATGTGGTACATGAGGTGGAACGAAACTGTACAGGGTCCCAGCTACACCCAAAAATAGTAAAAATATAAAGTACAAAAAGAAACTGTATACAAGGTTAAAGCAACATGCTAAACACATACAATACAGTGTATTAAACAGCAGCCTGAACATGAGTCTGTGGTAAGCAGGAGCTTAAAGGCAAGAAATCCGCAGCATTACTTTTCATAGTATTTCTGTTATTTTGTCTTCCAGGATTCAGATGTACGAGTCTGATCTGACGTTCAGTTTTGTTTCCACAAAAAGCTCTAGTCTGTTTTTCTGCACTGAAATGTGCAAATAAAATAATTTTAAAATCTGCCCAAGAATCAAAAATGACACAAAACGCTCTTAGCCACGCCATCCAGCTTTTCTATAGACAAAAAGTAAACAAATTGTTGTTTGTTTGTGTAAACGTTCAAGTTGTGTGTGTGACGAGTGAGTTCAGGACGACTGGTTTGTTTCTCAGGTGGACGTTTGGTGTTCTCAGACTCAGCAGAGGATCGTTGGGTATTATCAAGCCAACGCCAGCGCGTCAGACAGCAGGTGAGCTCCACGCATCACGACGTTTGACGTAGACTGACGTGAAACTTTCAACGTTTCATTTGTGACGCGCTCTTCGACAGCCCCACGCCGTGCGCACTGAAGATAGCCGATAAGATCACGGAGCAGTTCGAGAGCGCAGTTTTGTTGATGGTAACAACATCCATTGTTTTCCTGTTGGCAAATTAAAAACACTTAGTGCTTTAATTAGTCTTATGACAAATGCTTCATCATAATAATAAGTTTGTTTTTCCTCGCAGCTCGACGGAAGTAAAATGTCTCCAGATTATCGGGTTCCTCCGATCATCATGTATGAACGCAAAGATTCACGATGGATACTCAAAGACAAACACACGTAAGAAGGAGCTGGAGGCAAAAGGCCTCTTTATATTTCAGCCGAGACTCGATCAGATGTTAAGGCACAGATCCAAACCAGTTTAGCCACTTTGTTTTCAGGCGGGTGTTGGTCGTAGGCACCCTGGGGCAGTGGTCCCCAAACTTCTTTTGCACCACTGAGCAGTTTAATGTCAGACAATATTTTCACGGACTGGCCTTTAAGGAGTGGCGAACACCGTATTTTTCTGCCTATAAGTCGCGTTTTTTTGCGTCATTTGCATGCCCTACAACGTATACGCCGAAGTGACGTATTTATGGAGTTTATTCTATATTTACAACCAGTTTTTGTCTGAGATATGACCGTTTTCATTCATTCTGACTGAAAATGTTGAACAATACCATTTTGAGCTACTAGATGGCAGTCGAGTAGTATGGCATGCCGTTGTGTCATGTAATAGGTAAACGTGGCTATTGATGACCTGATCGGCTTGCCGTAGTCTGCCACCGTCGTCCAGCGAGCAACCGTCAAATCAGCTTCATTTCATCGCTGCCCCGGTGAAATTAAGCTGATTTGATCATTGAAGGGAATTTATTAAGTAAAAGTTCAACTGAGACACAATTTTACTTTAAAGTCAAGTGAACAAATAATTGTTTTAGGTGTTTATCTTGTTAAATTTCGAATGAATGGACAGCAAGTCGTCCCTCTGCGCGTTCATGTTTCCACGTGTCGACTTTAGAAAACGCAGCTGATTTGACCGTCAAAGTGCATTTATTAAGCTAAAGTCAGACTGAGACACAACTTTACTATAATTTTGAGCAAACAAATAATTGTTTTTAAGTGCTAATCTTGTTAAATTCTTGTTAAAGTCCTCCCGTGGCCGCCATTGTCAGCCCATCGATTTTTGGCACAACACCGACCCACTTTTCCGTGTTGTCAGCGGTGACGCGTTATAGATGCATCTTATACGGCGAAGTGACGTATTTATGGATTTTCCCACTTTATTAGACAAATATGGACTGATGCAACTTATAGAGCGGAACACGTGTACGGTGGAAATTACGGTAAACACAACAAAACTAAAATGATACGACCGACATAAAAACTGTTACAGTATTTTCTAAATCTACCGTAATAATAAACGTGAATCCACTGGTTAGATTAAACATATTTCAACACAAAAACAAATATAAAGTGCATGAAAAATACAACTCACCATAACGTTAAATCCGTGGGAGCCCTGAGCTGTTTCTCTGTAACGAGACGGTGCCATCTAGAGGTGATGGGAGACGATGACACCTGAAGTGTGTTAGTCCTGTCTGCTCCATTTGCTTTGGTTGCTGTCACTGCAGAACACGTGCTTCACACAGACAGGATGTCAGAACACGTGCTTCACACAGACAGGATGTCAGAACACGTGCTTCACACAGACAGCATGTCAGAACACGTGCTTCACACAGACAGCATGTCAGAACACGTGCTTCACACAGACAGCATGTCAGAACACGTGCTTCACACAGACTGGATGTCAGAACACGTGCT